TCTACAGCCGTTTCGATCGAGCGTCTCAAACCTGCTCATTTTGTACCGGACGACGCTCTAGCCCCTGGCGATCCGTCTACGTCCGACGCTACAGACAAGCCTCCTGCTTCGTCAAGCACTCAACCGGGTACCCTGAAAACGTATTCGGGCCCGAAAAAGAAAGTACAAATCAGGTTAGACAAGAACACCGTACGTTCATTCCCTCGTGACTAAAATCTCGATACGGGAAGTACAGGTGGATATGTATTGCGCGTAAAAGTTTATATTTTCCGTTAGCCATTAGTGTTAAGTGCAATTTTCATTCTGGTCGCGGTCGCGTATTATTACTATTTTGCTTTTGATTTATGTACATCCTGCGTATGCGTTAGCTCTAAGCAGCGGTACTAGCTATAAGTTATACATCCTGCGTATGCGATAAGCTGTAAGCAGCGGTATAAGAAGAATCTACATATAATATGTCGGGGTAGCTGCAATGTACATCCTGCGTATATTTCTTTTTAATTTTAAGCAGCGGTACCAGTATATAACCCTGTAATAATGTACATCCTGCGTATGCGTTAGTCTCTAAGCAGCGGTACTAGTTTTAAGTCTTGGCGATACATCCTGCGTATGCGTTAGTCTATAAGTAGCGGTATTGTCAAATGTGTTCATACACCCTGCATAAATAAGCAGTGGTAATATTATAACAGTCTGTAATTTCTGTGATACATCCTGCGTATACACTCTAGTTCTAAGCAGCGGTATTACATGTATTTCTGCAATATTCTTTGTGATATTCGGCAGCGCCGATTGTTTGTGATAGACACCCAGTGTCATACCAAGCATTGTATTCTATTTTCTCTCCAGCGTTAGCACTCGGGGGGGAGTGTGTGGCGACTTAGAGTTGCCTTTCTACACCACGACACAGTCTATGGTCGTTGGTGGCGCTGTCCGAGTGGGACAGGAAAAGTTAGTCGTAACTCGCCTTTGACACGGTCAAGTCTGATCACCTTGCCGTGTACCAAGATCTCAATAAAGTTCTCATATATATCCTATACAGTGAGTGAGTTCTTTCCCGCCTTAGCATACCGGCTATCGGCTAAGAAGTATTGTGGGCGCTTCAGCCGGGCCGTAATAATATCGACTGGCCCCAC